GAGTTGGAAGGTAGTAAGTTGCTTACAGGCACAGATGGGCTGTGGAGGGCAGAGAGGCACACCGAAGGCTTTGTGGGCCACGTGACCTCTTTCTCACATTTTTCTTCGTGTCCTTTCTCATCTCTTTAAAAATGCAAAGCCATGCTCAGCTTATGAGTGTCACAGAGCATGCAGCAGGCCACTGCTGGTCAGTAGGTAGTGCCACCCTGACCCCTGGACAGACTGGGGCCTTCCCGAGAAGTGGCGTGGGCCTGTGTGGAGTGGTGAATGTGGACCCGGCTGCTCCAGGTGATGGTGAGCAGCTGCCAGTGACCTTGCAGACCGACGTGGTGAACAGCCCTGCCCAGATCAGCCCCTGTGTGGGTAACTGGGGCCCATGTAGTAGTGCCCACCCTGTGGAAGGTGTGCCAACCCACTGCTGCTCTCCACCAGCCTGGGCAGCGATACAGCCCACCAGGGTGGATGAGGCTGGGACAAAAGTCATTGCCCAGCATCTTTCAAGACTGATGGTGGTCCTTGTTCTCCAGGCTGCCGTTGACGTGTTTCCTTAGTGAAGGGAAATCCCTGGCTTCCTTTGGGTCCTTCCCAATGTGCCTGGCTCTGCAGACCATGGAGCAGTCCCATGTGAGGGATCTGCCAACGCCACACCCTGTTCTGCTGTGACACTCGTTTTGTGCACAGGGATTGGCAGTGTTTGGGATCTGGGTGGTTCTATATCCTGCGAACTGGACCATCTCAGGCGAGAGCTGTGACTGTCTTGTGGTCCCTCAGGTCAGCACTCTACCCAGACCCTGGCTTTTCTGGGTTAGATGAAGTGACACTTGGTTTTTCATGCACCATCTCTGGCTCCTCTGCTTACTGGTCAGCCCTTTTACTGAGAGCAGAATCAGGATTCTTGCTGTCCCCCTAGGAGCCTCCCAGAAAGGCTGAGCTCCCTGGCCACTGCCTGTAGGGCTGACAGGGTAACAGACCTGCTGCCATTCCCAGCTGTCCATCACTGTGTGTCCTCCTAGCAGTCAGCTCTGTTTCCTGCACTCTGGGCTGTGTCATCGACACATGATGCTGTCCCTGGAGCTTTTCAAAGGCCAGTGTGGGGGAAGTATTTTTAGGCACACATCCTCAGGCAGCCTGCTGTCCACCCAGCTATACCTGTATCAGGTGATTGCCTGGAGGAGCTAGATTCTACCTCTCGTTCACCTGCTTTGCCTGCTGCCAGATGCAGGGAGGTGACTGCAATCTCTAAAAATAGCTCTCTGGTTGGTTCCTAATGTGCTCATTATGTTGTACAGCCATGGATGCCTCCTCCTCCTCCAGCTGGGGATCAGATTATGTCCCCAGCCAGGGCATTGTTAGCCCTTTAGCAAGCTGACTGCAGCTGCTATTCAGGCTCACAAAGGCTCTAATCTCCTTTGAATTCCTAAACCTTTTGACTCCATAATCCCTTCTAGCAAGCGCACTCCTTGTGTACCATTGGCCCCTCAAGTATGCCTCTTCCATTCATGTGGCCCTGATTATCTTTTTATCTCATTAAGTGCTGTTAGCTCTCGTGTTCCATATAAAAAAATAGACAGAGGCGTCAAATTGGCCTTAAAGATTCAGCTTGGTATTCTCTCCTTCAAAGCAGTGGCCTGTTAAGGAGTCAGGAGGCCTCATTTCATTCCTGACTCTTGTGCTAATGAGCCGTGTGCACTTGGAAAAGTCAGTTAACTTCGGTGGGCCTCAGTTTTCTCATTAGTAAAATGGAGAGGCCGAGTTCATTCAGCGTGACTTCTGCGTTATTCCGAACCCTGCTGTCCCATGGCTGTGACTCTCGAGTCAGCGTGTATGGGGTGGCTGTGGCACTGTCCTTCGCATGCGTGCTTGTTTTAAACAGAGCCTGTGCTTTGTGCTGTTGCCTTGGTTGTGTGTCTTGGCTTGTGTTGGTTACAGCAGGGGCCTTGGACCCTGCCCCCTAGGGGCTCCTACTCATTGTAATATTAATTCAGCACAGGTAGTTATATTCTAGGACCTAATCTCAGGATAGAGTTCAAGACAGAGATGAAAGATAAATGCCTCCCTGGCCATTACAGTGTTTTCCTTCTAAAGATCGGTGTTCCCTCCTCAGAACACTTTAGTTTCTTTGCTGCCTGCTGAAAGTGCATTGAACACTCTTTGAATGCTCTGTTCTAGTTCGGACAGCTGTGGAAATCCTCGGAACGTCAGAAACAATTTGTGTGTCTCCATGGGCAAACCTCCTGTGTTTCTTGGTGCTGTTTACCTTAAATCTCATCTGCTCCTGCGGCTTTGGAGATTACTGATTACACCTCCCATAGTCCTTGGGCTGGAAGTTTACTCTTTATTGAGCCAGTTTCGCTGCTGTGTTCTTCTCTCAGGTCCCTGGTGTTGGCAGATGTCTCTTACTGCAGGCAACTTTCTGACCCCTGAAGGTGACTTCTCATGTTTAGATTTTCAGCAAGGGACTTTGAACTCACTCAATACCCACGAAATTTTTTTTCTGTTCTTATTTTTTTGTTTTGTTTTTGAGTTCTGTGCAGTTTTATTTTTTTATTAGTACATGCTTATAGCTAGCTCATGGGCTTCCTGAAAGGCTATGTGACTGGAAACTTCAGCCAAAAATTAATTCGCATGTAGACAGAAGTCATTGTGTACTACAGTTCATAGTTAAAAGTAGAGGTGTTAACTGAAATATTGATACATACAGTAAAACCTTGGATTGCGAGTAACTTGTTCCATGAGTGTTCTGCAAGCAAAGGCTTCTAATACATTTTAATTTGATAAATGAGTGATGTCCTGCAATATGAGTAGTATATGTGCTGTGGAAGCGAGCACATTGCAGTATGAGTGGTATGTGCTGCCAAATGTCACATGATCACAACTGAGACAATGGTCCCCCCCCCCTTTCTCTCTCTCTGTTTGTGATATTGTGCGTGATCATCTCCCAACAGCAAGAGGTTATGGAGGAGATCTTATCTGCAGGGGAGAGAAAAAGGGAAAGGAATCCTCACTTCAAATGAGATTAGAGAGATGTATAAAATGTGCAAAACAGTGAAAATTTTGTAGAGAAGCACTACCTGAAGAAGGCTGTAGCAGTGCGAGTGATGAATCTGTTTAATGACAATGCAATGTCTCATTTCTACAAAATCCTCAAAAGGAGGTAAAAGCAAGTATCACTGCACTGGTTCCTTGTTAAAGTTGTGTGGGAAGGAAAAGATTCCATGGAGCCAATAGACAGCAGTGATTCCATTAGTGACAGTGAAAGTCGCCCTGCACAATAGCTCTCCTCCCTCTTGTCTCCCTCACACCAGCCACAAGGTTTTCAAAGGTAAGTGCAGGTTAATTTGTTTATTTTTCTTTATTACTTATATTATATTACTGTATTATAATCATTTTAATATGAATATTTTGGAGTTGTGGAATGAATCATCTGAGTTTCTGTTATTTCTTATGGGGAAATTCACTTTGATATACAAGTGCTTTGGATTACAAGTATGTTTCTGAAATGAAGTATGTTCACAAATCAAGGTTTTGGGGAATATAGATAAGTGATATGTATGTATGGTTCTTTAAGTCAAAATCCCATTTTTTTTAGATGCAATAAAATATGTGAAATGAACATGGAATTTGGAATCAGAAAACCTTGACTGAAATCCTAACCCTTCTACTATTATCTGAGCATGGTTAGTGATGGTAATAATAATAACACGCATGGAGCTAGGTACTGGGTCATTGTGCCCAGGCTGTTTTGTGGTTCAGTAAATCAACACTTGGATTGAAGGGCCATAATAGTTAATAACAAGTGGTGTATTTTCAAATGCAATGTAGGGTCCTCATTTTTATAATGCTGTATGTGCCTTTTTTTTACTTCCTGTGTAGGAAATAATCCTCATGAAGTGTTTTTTTCTTCCTTTAACACAATACAGGGTCTGTTATGCCAGGGGTGGTGCACTCCTGTAATCTCAGGTTCTCAGGAGGCTGAGGCTGGAGGATCACAAGTTTGAAGCTGCTCTGGGCAATTTTATCAAAAATAAAAAAGGATATGTTCTATTCTTCATTTGAGAGCACATTGATGATTTAATTTTGAAACCTGTTCATTAGGGTCTCCTTTAAAGGGGAAGAAGGAAGGTGTTTAGCACATTTGCAATTTAAAACTAAATGGAATGCAAATTTTGAAGGGAGTTTAGATATGAATTTAATGTTAAGTCTGATGTTTTAGAGCCCCTGGGTGGGGGGGGTGGGTACTGGGTGCTGGGGGTCCAACTCAGGGCCACACACTGCTAGGCAGGCCCTCTACGCTGAGCTGCATCTCTAGTCCTAAACCTCAGTTTTTAAAGCTCTGTCATAGCGAGGGTCTGCCTGGAGCTTGCACGTTCTTGTCCTTCCTATGTGAGTTCAGTCACTTCATCCACATGGTGGCTTTCCTGGGATGCCCGGACCCTCAGACCACCTGCAGGAAACCACATCAGGGCTCTGGGCCAGAGCCGAGACTGGGCAGGGTTGGTGCCGAGGGTCCTTGTGGGCTTCAGCCAGCAGTACCTCTGGCCCAGACTTGCATCCCATTAGGTAAACTGAGGTAGATTGATGCTGCCGACAGCATTTCTGAATGCATTTCCAGGCTTCTCCCATGTTGACACCTGCTTCCAACAACCCCATAATGCTTCGGGCAGAGACCCATTTAATGGCACCTCAGATGCCAGCTGGTGGTTGGGGGCTGCCTTCGCCCTCCATTTTGCTCCTGTTTTTGAAGAACTGCTGAAAGATGGGAGGACATCAACTTTGAAAAAAAACATTTTCTTTTGCAACTGAATGGTGGTTTTGAGACAAGGAGCAGGTGGGCTCTTGGATGCTGGCCTGGCAGTGCCCGTTCTGTGTGGCAGCCCTGCTGGGCCGACCATGCTCCCAGGCTGTGGTGTTGGTCCTGGGGGCAGATGTCCCCTTTGTGCAGCCCTGTGCTTGTCAGGCGCTGTCCCTGCTGCCCTGCTGACACTCTTTCTGTTGCTCAGCTCCCGACAGCCGTGTCCTGGCATGTGCGGCCGTGTGGAGGATGCCCGAGGAGCTGGAGTCCGTTGGCCACGAGTCCCCTGACGACTCGGCCAGCACCACGCAGACCCTGGAGCTGCTGTGTCAACTTGGGAGTGCGGCCCCTGGCAACGTGGCCTGGTAGGAAACCGCCCGATCCTGTCCTTCCCTCCCAGTCTAAATCAGTGCTGCCCAGGCACCTGACAGAAGAGTGACACAGCCAGGCACCATGCAGGTGCCATAGTGGGACTTCAGGTCGGAGGCTGTCACTGCTCCTTCCTGAGGCCTCTGTGCAGTGCGCCTGGCGTGCGGTGTCCTGAGCCCTCCGTGTCTCACCCTCACCAGTGGGTGTCACACCAAGGGTTGGGAGATGTGGCTCCTCAGCCAGCAGCTGCCTGTGTGGTTGGAGGTTGGCTGTGTCACCACCCGGTCAGACCCGGGGCCTTCACAGGAAGGGACTGTACAGACAGAACACTCGGGTGTTTACAGCAGTGCCTGTCATTGTTTACTTACCACAGTGACCCTTGATTGGAAGAGAGAGAGAGGACTCTTCTCCTCTGTATGGTCAGTTCTGTGACTATCAGCGTTACCAATTAACATCTTAATCCAGCAGATACTTATTAGGCACCTGTTGCACACACTCTGCCGGCCCCAGGGACACCAGGGTGAGAGTCGGGGGACCCATCCTCAAGCAGTCACTGTCTCCAGGGGCGACACAGAGTAAACAAAGAAGGTTCCCCCAGGAGGGCAGAGCTGGGCTCTGTCTGGTCCAGGTCCCCATGCGGGGTTGGGCCTTGCAGTGGAGACAAAGCAGTGCCCCACATGGGTGGTCTGAGGCTCGGCAGGCTGCAGGCATCAGGCTGGGGCTTTGTTTTGGTGC